AGAGAGAAGATAAAAAGGTTTTCCCTGATTTACTACCTGATTTGTAGTAACAAAAATTTGATTGACTGATGAATGAGTCGTGTATGGCTTGGTTGTGTTGATTTAACGGTTCACAATATTTAACCTAGAATATTTGTGGAAAAAGATGAATGAGAGTTGAGTTTAAAGATCAGTAGGATAGTTAGTTTGTTCTTGTTCTATATTTGCTTGAGTTTTGTCTTGCTTGAGGACGGCCAAGGTTTAAGTGTGAGGGGATTTGATGAGAATAAAAAGTATCATATTTTTATCTCCAAATATTTATTCTTTTACATTAAATTAGCACTTAATTGGACTCATTACTCTTGTATTTCGATTCAGGGCAAACAAGAAGGCGACAAGAGGAAAACAAGGCTAATCGGACGATTTTGCACAGTTTCGACACCATTCAGTAATCTGGGAATAACTCTCAAACCTGAATTCCAATTGGGATGATTCAAGATGCACCGGAAAGATAAGGGTGAACTCAACAACTTTCATGTTCTGGGTTTTGACAAATTCGGTCTGAATCGAGGTCAAAATTAGGCCCAAAGTCGGAGCAAATTCGTAAAGAGGCCCAGCCTACAGCTGAAGCCCAATTCGCAGAAGAGCTTTGTAGCAAGCCCAATTTATTGAAGAAGCCCAACACGAATTCAAGAATAAAGAGTCCCATCAGATTTAAATTTCAAATATAATCTTAGAATGATAAGAAGATTGAGATTAGATCACTAGATAAAGAGATAGGATAGGATTAGTTCAAAACCGATTAGAACTTTCTAATTTTGAGGATAATCTCGTAAAGGGAGTTGGAAAACAGCCCTCTCCCTAAAGCTATATAAAGGGGGGGGGGGGGGGGGGGGACTAGCTTCAGCACTCAATCAATTCAGAGGATCAGTCCATCCATCTGGGAAGTAGAGCAAGAGGGAGTCGACAACCATGAGCGGCTAAGCTTTTTTTTTTTATTCAAGGGGGATTTTCGATTCAATTGTGTCATCGTGAGGTTTTGTGTTTAATTTAAATTCTTGCTTTTAATTCAAGTATACGTTGATTCTTGTGCATGTTCCTATTGCTATCCATGGTTTGATGATCCGTAATTATCACGAAAAGTGGTACAAGTAGCAATTAAGTTATTATCCTACATGGGTCAATTGTTCGTGACAGCCTTTGACCAATGTATKGRYATGTYTTAAYCTAARGGGAATCAAYGGAACAAGATTCGATAATTGYAGCTATCTCAATTATTGTTATTTTGGTTTAACTGTTTTCACAAAGGTTATTGCTATAATTAATTGATATGCAGCGCTATTGTACCCAGTCGGTTAATGATAAGTGTTGATCGAATGCCGGGTTTTGCCAACTAATTCAAGAAAACACGAGGTTTATTATGGCTATGCTAATAAATCCTAAGGTTAAATACTTGAATTGCAAGATTGCTGAAGTTTACCTAAGATCGATGACTAATTGACTCAATCCGAACCCTTGGATTAGAATTCGGTAAGACTGAGTTTTCTTTGTTAATTGTTATTTGCTATTTTGCATTAATTGTTATTTTAGAATTTTAATTATTCAAATTTCCCACTCTTTATATTGCGCATTCGGCTGAGAAATTAATTACTGGATCCCTGTGGGATTCAACCTAGTGCCATGGTTATTACAAGTTATAGTGAGGTGGGACTAGAATTAATTTTGAGGGCTTCAACAACCCGTCGTCACCCCAGATTTGGTTTTAAAAAATTTTGGGTCTGCTTAATTCTATCCCGAGGTCAATATAGTAAACAAAATCAAATAATGAAATACATATTTCTTTCAATCCCTGACACCAGACCGGTCTGGACCATAAGATCCCAGACCAAGCCCAAGCATGCCCGTAGCCAGACCGGGCCTAGGCTAGGGTTATAACCCTTATCATAGGTAGGGTTGTGTCTGTAGCCCAACGTTAGGTGTTGTGTGTGTAGAGGCTTAGGTTGGGTTAGATGCGCGTGGGTTGGTGGGTAATAAATATAATGGCTCGGTAGGTGGATCATGTGGTTAATTTTCTTTGGGTTTATTGTAGATAAAAGCAACTTTTTGCCTTTAATATAAAAAAAGATAATGATTTTATATAATAATTAAAATAGGATAAATTTTTTAAAAAAATATCTAGAAAGGGCACTACGCCCGTGGATGGTTAAAGTCGCCGGCGATAACCATGCCCGTGGATGAAACAACAGAAAACGAAAATCCAGAAGCAAAGTTCTACGGCCATGGCGAACGAGAAAACGGAAACCCGAAACAATGCCAGGCTGTCCATACTGGAGCTCGCCAACATCATCAGCGTCCCTCAACGCCATCGTCCGCCTCAAGGTCGCTGATGCCATCCGACAAGGTAGCTCCAACGTCCCTCTCTCCGCCTCCGAGATCTTAGCACGTATCCTCCCAACCGGCGATCCCAATAACTTCCAGCGCATCCTTCGAATGCTCACCATCTACGACGTCTTCTTGGAGCACATCGCCGATGGCTCCTCGGTGCTAATGCAGAAGGCCATGTCGGGGATATCCGTGCCAATCGTGCCGTTCATGAAGATAACATTAGATTCAAAGGGTGGAGCGTTAACATTCGCATGAACAGAGAGCATAGGAAGAAGACGAATAACGGTGCTCTTTTTTATATTATTTTTAAAAAAATATCTTATTTTAATTATTATATAAAAATATTACTTTTTATTGATATTAAAGACAAAAAGTTGCCTTTATCTGCTAGAAAACCAATTTCTTTTTGTAATTTGTTAATTTCAATAAACAAGATAAAACGCCCAAGTGTGGACAGATCTCTGATTCAAGTGTTGCACAGGAGTGTAGCCCTCCTCGCGCAGTGCATCCCTCCTGCTTCTTCATTCTCCTGTTCAGTCTTGTAGTTGTAGCTGATGTTCGCGCGGAATATGTCTTGCTTGCTGCCGTTGTGTTGCAGTGCTGCCCACTAGCTTGTTGCCGGGTTTACCAGCCTGCTGCTTGTTTTTTTTTTTTTTTTTTTTTTGTTTTGTTTTTGGGGTTGGCTCAACCCTGGCTCCTGTCTCGGATCAAAGATGATTTCACTTTCACCTTGTTTGTTCTAACTTCTACCTTTTAGCGAAAAGGCAGAATTTCACAAAACCAATCAAACACTTGGCGATTCTCTGTTTCTCGATTACAATTTCCCACTCTATGCCCAAAATGAAAGACACCATAGTAATGTTCCCCAGTCCAGAAATAAGCCATCTTATCTCCATGGTCGAGCTTGGCAAGCTAATTCTCCACCACCACCCGCAGTACTCTGTCACTATCCTCCTTACAACCGGACTTGTTGACCCAACAACAATGACGCCTTACATCAACCGCATTTCCCAAGCAAACCCTTCCATCGTCTTCCACCAACTCCCCTTCCTCCCTACCCCACCTGACAAATCTCCCCTTCGCAGCCACTTGGCCATCCTCTTCGAGTCTCTCCGTATGTACACCCCAAACGTCCGCAATGCGCTGCAGTCTATCTCCCTTTCCTCCACCATCCAATCCTTCATCATCGGCATCTTTTGCTTCTCCTCCTTTGATGTTGGTTCTCATTTTCAGATCCCCACTTACTTCTTCTACTCTTCTGCTGTTGTTTCCCTTGCTCCTATCCTCTACTTCCCTATCCTCCACTCTCAGACCTCCCAAAACTTCAAAGACCTTACCACCACTTATCTCGACATCCCAGGTGTTCCTCGCATCCGTGGATCTCACATGGGGGAGGCCGTAGTCAACCGTGCTGATCCAGCCTACTATGAATTCTTAGACTTAGCAACTCATCTCCCTAAATCAAAGGGAATCATATCAAACACTTTTGAGTCACTAGAGCCAATACCCATTAAAGCAACTGCTGATGGGGCCTGCATACCCCACGCTCCGACCCCACCAGTTTACTGTATAGGACCATTGATTGCCGATGGAGAAGTAACCATGAAGTCTGGACATGAGTGTTTGTCGTGGCTCAATGCACAACCTAGTCGAAGCGTTGTATTTTTGTGTTTTGGTAGCCGAGGTGTCTTCTCGGCACTTCAATTGAAGGAGATCGCTCATGGGTTGGAGAAAAGTGGCCAGAGGTTCTTGTGGGTAGTGAAGTCTCCGCCACCTACTGAGAAGGAGAAGACATTGGGCTTCTCGAGCTTGGCATCAAAGGAGCTAGAGTTGGATTCTCTACTGCCTGAAGGGTTCTTGAATCGGACAAGAGACAGGGGGCTGGTTGTGAAGTCATGGGCACCCCAAGCGGCCATATTGAATCGGGAATCAGTGGGTGGGTTTGTCACTCATTGTGGATGGAGCTCAGTATTGGAAGCGATTTGTGCCGGAGTGCCGATGCTGGCATGGCCTCTCTATGCAGAACAACATATAAACAAGGCCGGATTAGTGGAGGATATGAAGCTTGCAATGCCGATGGAGCAAGCGGAGAATGGATTCGTGAGTGCAATCGAGGTCGAGAAGAGAGTGAGGGCCTTGATGGAGTCGGAAGATGGAAAAACACTCAGAGAGCAGAGTCGGAAGATGAGAGAGAATGCACAGGTTGCTTTAGCCAAAGGGGGATCGTCTGTCGAGGCCCTTCGTAAACTGGTGGAATCATGGAACCCAAGTAAGTGTTAACCCGTCTAGCTAATTGTCCTTTTAAGGTTGAGTTTGTTTGCATAGGAATTTCATTTGTACTAATGCAAAAAGGCAAGGGAGTGCAAAACTGGTTTTGTTTGGCTTTAGGCAAAATGATGTAATTTCTACTTTATGCGAAAGAAAAAGAAGGCAGGAGGAAAGTTTTCTGTTGGTTTGGAGTAAGGTAAAGAGGCATAATGATGTGAACCCAATTCTCTGTGGGAGGAAAGCAAATTATTAAACAAAGGAGCAAAATACATAGTTTTTTACATCAGATATAGCAGGAGGATAATTATCTAACAAAAAATGATCATGCATAATATGTTTACTCTGGTTTGCTATCTGATGAGCAGGGATATTGAACCTTCTACTAATAGCTAAACATTGTACAGATTGAAATAACTTTTTTGTTCGCATAAGCAACCCCAAAGATGACCAATGTAGGGAAATTTTGTTTTGAAGTGCATGGACTGCTAGTTGAGAATCCAAGCAGACCAAGATATTCTTTTTTCCCAGTTGAAGCACTTGATGGATTCCTTGACGCATAGCAAAAAAGCTCGGCTTCCTCTACTGATTTCAAACACTTCCGTCCTCTTGTGATTTGAATACATTCCAGCTAGTTGTTTATGAGGATAGTATCATAACAAAACAAAGTATGGGTAATTTTCCCTGCATCCGTGAATATGATACAATTAGTGTTTGAATGTAAATGTATGCATAATTGTGAAGGTATTTCCTGAGTTAATCCTGGATGAGATCGAGACACACTAATATTATTGAAGACAGTATTAGTCTTTCGAAGAATCCAGAGATTTGATACCACATAATCTTTAAAACATTTTTCATTATGTGCAAACTAGATATACTATAAAGCTATAGCATACCAACTAAGAAATTTCAAGGACATAGATTTCTCAGGAAAAAGATTGACAAGTTCAATAATACAATGAGTCTAGGAAGAGTGAAAAATATTATTTATATTAATATTCCAAGGAGATGCAAATAAAATGGATTTTATGAAAAAGCATTCTAGAAAAAAGATGATTCAGGGTTTCTAGATGGTTATGACAAAAGATAGTTTTGATCTTGATTTCTAGATAAAACTTTCTCTCTAACAATGAGAAAGCCTTGGATAAGATGAAGGGATGAAAGATCCATCATATGGATGGCCGAACCTTGCAGGAAGGTTGGGTGAAATTTCAAAAATTTATTTCTTTCCCATCTGAGAATCGCATTCCCTATTTTAGAAAACTGCATTTTCAAGGATCGTTCTTGAATCCAAAACTGGACCAGATCTGAAACCAAAAGGGAAGAGAGGGATATACCTGATACGAAGTAGCAATAACTCCCAATGAAGGTGTTCACACCCAAGAAAAATACCAAAACCTGCTCCCACCGAAGATGACACAGTGTGTAATGAAGCAGAATCAGCATGATGGCTCTTCAGCAAGAACTAGGATCCTTTAGCAAGAATCGAACAGGGGCTGGTGAGCACGACTTCAGATTGTTTTTTCAGCCAAGAAACAATATTAAGAACCTTTCTTAATCAATTCCTCAAGAGGAGGTCGAACTGGGTAGGGATGGAAAGAATATGAGAGAATTCTACAGGTTGCTGTGTTGTGTAAGACTAAGGAATTCACCCCCTTATTTATAGTCTTCTTTGGATCAGCCTCCTAATCTAATTAGGAGAGAGTTTTTTGATCCAAATCTGATATTTGGATCTGGACTCTTAAATGGATAAGACTTACTTCTCATTTTAGCTAATCCTAATCAGATTATAAATCAGTTCTTACATCATTTTAATTAACTAATTTAAGCCTAGTTCGAATTGGGCTTTAGGCCCATTAAGCTTATATGCTCACTTAACTTCTTAACCTACTACCCAGTTGGCTCTCTTTGTATGGCGTGGGACTCTTACATTGATTTACACATCAACCACATGGGATCAACCACATGGGTTCAACCCACCCTTTGTTACAAGGCCTAGCTGAATTCACTGTAGGAGACAATGAACCCTGAGTCCATCACCATGGGCTCTTAATGGGCCCAACATTTACACTAAATGGTCATTGGGTCCAGCCACCTTATGAAAACCCAATCACTGTGGGCATATGCAACATTAGCCCATCAGGTATTACTCTCAATGGTCTTATACTTAACATCTCAGCCCATAATGATCAAATACTACACAACAATAGATGATATTTCCCTCAACTACAAGGAATAGTGTTGTACTCTCTACTCACATGGATCCCAGGAATTAAATCATTTTGCAAACATTTTGAAACCACAATATATATAAGTATATTTCTATATAAATATATTTTGCAAAAACAAATTTCAACGGTTGAAATCAACTGTCGACAGTTTAGATTTCCATCAGAGAGAGTGCATCCCCGATCATTCACTTTGTCCAACAAGGGCTGATCCAGTTACTATGGTCACCCACTCAGATGAATTCTCAGACTGTCCCAACATACTCAGGTTTTGACCCCGTCTAAGGATCTCACTGATTGGCATATAAAAAACAACCCAATCCGACACCTAGTGTAGTACCATAATCGAGTTTAAGGGTCAAGTGTAACTTTCCAGTTTTGCCCATCTATCTCCAAAGTTTAGGGCAATACTAGAATTTTGGTCTGGTTCAGGGTTTCAAGAAAACCCACACTACATGTACCTAAGGTCTCACCTTGGTAATTGAGACAAACTACCCCAACCAACTTGGCGGCACATCAGTGTCAGCCTTGGCAAGATAAATCTCCTCAGATCTATCCAACGACTATGAAGATTCTAAATTAACATGAGTCTCATAAGTGTCTAGTTTAAGGGTATTACACAGAAATATACCACAATGACATGAATCAATTATGCACTTTATTCATTTACAACAAATGTCAAAAGATACATCAATCTAATTGGAGCTAAGGGCATAACTATCCAACAACTCCCACTTGCACTTAGGTCCAATCGGGTACAAGCCGAAGTCCCAAATTTTCCATGTGTTTCTCAAACACTTTCTGTGTCAGTGGCTTAGTTAATGGGTCTGCCACATTCTCCGCTGATGCTACATTTTAACATCAATCTCCCATAGATCCAGTGTTGTCATACAATAGTGGAATGAGTGATGTGCTGAATTCTGAATTCTAGAATGAACACCTTCATTAATTAGGCAGCTTCACTTACGACAATGTGCTCGGCTTAGGTTGTGGAATCTGCTATTTTTACTACATAGGACCCCATCGTAAAGATGTAACCAGATATAGACATTCTATCATTTGGGTCTGATTGGAAGTCGATATCAGTATTCCCTTGAATCTGTAGTGAATTACCACCAAATACCAGACAAAACTTTTGTCTTTCGAAGGTATTTCAGTATGTTTTTCACTGCTGTCCAGTGTTCCTGTCCTGGGTTAGACTGGTATCTACTCACCACACTCACTGCCTAAGCAATGTTAGGATGAGTGCACAATATGGCATACACGATGCTCCCTACGACTGAGGCATAGGGAATCTCCTTCATGCCCTCAATCTCCTTGGGAGTCTTGGGAGACATACCCTTGGAGAGAGCGACTCCGTGCCTGAAAGGAGCATTTCCTTTCTTGCAGTTCTCCATACTATATATTTTGATAATTGTCAATGTAAGTAGATTGGGATAATCCTATTATCCTTTTCAATCTATCTCTATAGAGTTGAAGTCCTAAGATATAAGTGGTTTCTCCAAGATCTTTCATGGAGAATTACTGTGAAAGCCATACTTTCACCGTAGTTAACATTCCTACATCATTTCCAATGAGTAGAATGTCATCTACATATAGAACCAAGAATGTAATCTTATCCCCATTGGATTTCCTATAAACACAGGACTCATCCGAATTTTGCTCAAAGTCAAACTGTTTGACGGTAGAGTCAAACCGGATGTTCCAACTCCTAGAAGCCTGTTTCAATCCATATATAGATCGGTTAAGTTTGCATATCATGTGTTCTTGACCTGCAGCAATGAATCCTTGCGGTTGCTGCATATAAATATCTTCAGTAAGATTTCCATTTAGGAACGCGGTATTGACATCCATTTGCCAAATCTCGTAGTTATGGTATGCTGCTACAGCTAGCAAGATCCTAAATAGACTTTAGCATAGCCACCGGCGAAAATGTTTTCTCATAGTCGATTCACTCTTTCTGAGTGTATCCTTTTGCCACAAGACGAGCTTTATAGGTCTTAATGTTACCATCTGAGCCCATCTTCCTCTTGTAAATCCACTTGCAACCAATTGCTTTTACCCCAGAGGGTGGGTCCACATGAGTCTAGACCTTGTTGGACTCCATCTAGTCCATCTCGGCTTTCATGGCATCTACCCATTTCAATGAATCTATGTTCAACATAGCTTTCGCATAAGTCGTAGGATCCTCCTCACTTGTCGTGGCTTCCACCAATTAATTTTCTTGGTCATAGCCATAACGAATTGGAGGCCTGGATACATGGGTAGACCTTTTAGGTTGAGTATCTGGAGCTTGTGGGACATCTCCCACTACTCATGGGCTCTCTTCATCAAGAAATTCTTGCTGAAGATTCTCCAGGATGTAATATTCTTCTAAGAAACAAGCATTTCGACCACAAAACACCTTTTGTTATTTCAGATCATAGAATAGGTAACCTATAGAGCATTTGGGGTAACATACAAATAGGCAACGACTGGTCTTAGATTCTAATTTGTCAGCACTAGTTTTTTTAACATGTGCTGGACAACCCCAAATTTTCAAATGTCCCACACTTAGTTTCTTACAGGTCCAAAGCTCATAGGGAGTCTTCGGAATGAATTTGATTGGAACCCGATTCAACACGTAAATCGCAGTCTCTAATGCGTATCCCCAAAAGGATGTAAGTAATTCTGAGTGGACGAGAAGTGATCGGACCATATACAATAGGGTCCGGTTCCTCATCTCCAACACTGTTTATTTGTGGTGTAGCGGGAGGAGCTAATTGTGATACTATCCCATTGTCCTTTAAGTAGTCACTGAATTCATCAGAGAGATACTCGCTACCTCGATCTGATCGAAAGCTTTAATTTCTCATCCTAATTGTTTCTCGACTTGTTGTCTGAACTCCTTGAACTTTTCAAGGGATTCAGAATTATGTCTCATCAGGTACACGTAACCATACCGAAAATAATTATCGGTAAATGTTATAAAATAAACGTGTTGATTACGTGTTCTAACATTTAGGGGACCACATACATCAGTATGTATAAGGTCAAGTGTGCCTGTAGATCTTTCAGGCTTACCGTGAAATGGTCGCTTCGTCATCTTACCCTAAAGGCAAGGTTCACAGGTTGGAAGATCTTCTATGGTTAGAAAATTTAAAGGACCATCCTTTACCAACCTTGTGATATGATTTATGTTAATGTGGCTAAGTCAGTAATGCCACAGGCACGTGTGACTAATTGTATTACAATTTCTTTTCTTGGGGATTATTTCCGATATAGTTTCGATAATGTTGGTTTTCAGAGAGCGATGAAGAACATATAGACCATTCTCAAGTTCCCCATATGCTATGAATTTGTTATTCTGTTTAATAGTAATCACATTACTAAAATAGAATAACCATCCATGCACAATTTTGAGACAGAAATCAGATTTCTTCCTAAATTAGGTATGAAAATACAATCTTTTAGTACAATAATTCATTATCTGAAAATTAATTCTACAGT